ACTGAATGTGGCGTACCAGGCACGAGGCGCTTGTTTCAAGCCATACAAAGCTCGGCGCAGACGACAAACCTTCCCAGAGGACAAGAACCCAGGAGGAGAAGTCATGTAAACCTCCTCAGATAATGCACCGTGCAATAAGGCATTCTTAACATCTAACTGTAAAAGAGACCATCGATGAACTGCAGCAACTGCAAGTAAACAGCGTACAATAGTAAGACGAGCAACCGGTGCAAATGTCTCTTCATAATCTATGCCATACTCCTGTGAGTACCCCTTAGCACAAGACGAGCTTTGTAGCGCTCAATAGACCCATCTGAATTTGTTTTGATCTTGTAAACCCGTTTGCATCCGATGGGTTTCTTGCCAGCAGGTAGATCAACTAGATCCCAAGTATGAGTCTTGTCTAAGGCCTGCAATTCCTCAGCCATAGCTTGTTGCCATAATAAATCAATACTCGCCTCACGAAAAGACCTAGGCTCATGATGAGATAATATGGCCGAATAACAATGATAATCAAGTAAGTGAGAAGGGGACGACTTACACGAGTCGACCGTCGCTGATCAATAGCTGGCAAAAGTACAGAACCACAAGAGGGCTTATTACGAACCGTCGGTTCAGGATGCACAAGTGGAGCCACTTCAGAAGACGGAGGCATGACAGGCGTGTCAATGAGCTGAGAGTCAGAACCTGTATCTGTATCTGGAAAAAGATCTGAAGTAATAGACATGAATAAAGGAGACGCCGAATCAAACGGAATGTGGAACTTAGACAAGGAGGAAAAAGTAGTATGCTCCCAAAAGGTAACATGACGCGAGATATGCAACATATTAGAAATCGGATCCCAACACCTAAATCCTTTGTGTTCTACCCTATAACCCAAAAAACAGCACAGATGAGCTCGGGGTTCTAATTTGGTCCGCTCATGGGACGGAAGGAGAACAAAGCAAGCACAACCAAAAGGACGTAACTGAGTATAATCAGGAGACTGACCGTACAACCTCTCAAAAGGACTGACATCCCTAATGACTGATGAGGGTAACCGATTGATAGCATAAACAGCAGTCAAGGCTGCCTCACCCCAAAAACGATCAGCTGGTCCATTTTGTTGGGAAGTATATGGACACGAACGTTGAACTAAGGTGCCCTGATCAGAAAGAAATTTCAAAAAAGTAGAATCTTTGTACTCAAGAGCATTGTCAGTACGCAAGACCTTTATAGGACAAGAAAATTGTGTAAGAATCATTTTAGCAAATTGAACATATATGCTGGACAACTCAGAACGATTTTTGAGAAAATAGATCCAGGTAAAACGAGAAAAATCATCAACAAAAATAACAAAATACCGAAAACAACTCAGAGAAGCAACAGGAGAAGGACCCCAAATATCAGAATGTACCAAAGCAAAAGGTTTATTTGTAGTTGACAAACTATCAGAAAAAGAAAGAGCCGGTTGTTTCCCAAGTTTGCAATGAAGACAACTAAAAGACTCAAAATGACCTGAGCCCAAAATACCCTTATTATATAAAGAACGAACTTTATTCGAAGACGCATGCCCAAGACGAATATACCACTGGAAACTAGACTTACTATCGGTGGCAGAAGCAGAAAAAGTGTAAGAACGAGGGACATGAAGTGACTCAAGCTCAAATAACCGGCCCGTCTAGTGACCTTTCTCGAGAAGTTGTCCTGTCTGTGAATCCAGAACCTGAACACCAGAAGATGAAAATATAACATTAAGACCTTGGTCAACCAATTAACCAACAGAAATAAGATTCAAGGCCAAGTGAGGAATGCAGTATGTGTCGGGAAGATGCAAGGAAGGGGAAGAAATCAAACCAGTGTGAGTAACATTCATAAGAGTACCATTAGCAGTATGTATAGGAGGTAAAGAGGTTACGGAAGACGAGGAAGACAAAAGCTGCGGGCTAGAGGTCATGTGATTGCAACAGCCAGAATCAAAATATCAATTTGATTTACCTCCGGTAGCAGACATAGAAGAATTGGAAAGAAGAACCTGTTTGAGAATAGCCTTTGTCTTGAAGAGTGTAAGACGAATGCTGAGGCTCAGTAGTGACAGCCGCTGTAACAGAAGAAGTGGCGGTAGAGGAAGATCCATGATGTCGAGAGAATGAACCTCTCGAACGGTGTGATCTTGCTGGACAATATGTAGCAATATGACCCCGAACATGGCAAATGTGGCATACCACCGTAGGACAAAATGGAGCAATATGACCCTGAACATGGAAAATGTGACAGACCACCATAGAAGAATCCATATCCAAAAAATAAAGAAGCACCAACAACCAGCAACAGTACGAAGGCAAAAGAAAATCACGAACTGGATCACAAACCGGATAAAATAGCAGTAAAAGGCCGAAATTAAAAACGGCATGAAAACCAAAACCGACCACACCAGGACGTAGCCGCCGATGAGAAGAGTCGACGGCTGAAAAATCACGGCGATCGGAGCTGGGGGTGAATCTCACGCTCCGGCTGAAGCTGCCAGCACTGTCGCAAAGTTTCGGCGAGTGTGGGTCCCACGCGCCTCCAAACGGGCCCAAATTTTGACCGACGGCTCGCCGGAAGATGCCGAGAGGATGGTCTGGGAGGTGAGAATAGCAGACGGCCGGAGACGAGCGAAAAATACTAACCCTATATTGGACTATAAACCTAGTCTGATACCATGTAAGAAAGTGAGAAAAATATATGTTCTATATTATTCACAAGACATGTACACATATATAGGAACATAATGAGCCTAAACCTAATCCTACGAAATATATTATAACCATATATACAAAATATATTCTAACAGTAAGTAATGTGAGCAGTCGTGTTATTAGCGGGAGCGGAAAATTCAGTCCTACCCGTGTGGTCACCACCCCATGAGGATCACACCCTTTCACACATTCACACCTGATTCTGAACGAGTATTTGTTGATCCCAACGGTTAAACTAAAACAGGCAGCCAACAGCATGAAATCCACCGATTAGGAGCGTGCTCACTATCTACACTCAGAAAAAATTTAATCCTACCAATGAAAGTAGTGCCCTTAGTATTTATCTTATGTATCACTGATTATGAGCGTCTCACTATCTACACTCAAAAAAAATTAATCCTACCAATGAAAGTAGTGCCCTTATTAGGTATTTATCTCTATGTATCACACACACCTTACCCATGGGTGTTTGAATATATAAATCATTGGTAAAAGTAGTGCCTTCTTGTTTCGTGCTCCGCGTGCCTTAGCCGTTGATGGTTGGGTCAGCTATTTCAGATGCGGGTGGAGCCGAGCTTCGGCGGCTTTTGTGTTGCTGACGTCCCCACTCTGTTCGTGCATCATTTCTCAAGAGCTAGTCTTCACGGCGAGTTGCGGTTTGGTCTTTGATGTGTGTGGGGGTGGGAGTGTGGGTTGTGCCTCGGCATTGATTGAAGCGGTCTCTTTGCATTGATGGCCTTTTTGAGGTTGAGAATCTCAAATTTGGATAGCCGTAGCCGATTTGGAGTGCGGAGTTTTTAGATTGGTATTCTAGGCTGAGGACGAGTTCGTCTATGTAGATTTCTTCGATTTGTTGGCTTGTGAGGTTGTAGTGTATGTGTAGTTTGTCGGTGGCTGTGGAGGGCTTTATTTTATTAATTAGGTGTGAGTTGTTTTTTTCCTTGTGTTTTTGTCTGTTCGTTTAGTGCAGCTTTGTCTGCTTTTAGTGCAGCTGTGGCTGCTTTTGTTTTGTGGTTGTTCGCCTCCGTTATGGAGTTTGTACCCCCTTGTGTGACAAGGGGGGTGGTCCAGTCTTCTAGTTCCAGTGTGTCATTTGACACTTCGGGTGTACTCCTTTGAGTTTTTAAGTTATTAATAATATTGTCATTTGAAAGAAAAAAAAAAAAGTAGAAAAATCACTCGAGAGAAAGAACCCATATGGGTGTTTCTATGTATAATTTGATGATAAAAACCCGGAGGTTGAAATCCAATTAGGTTCAAAAAAATCACTCTAGAAACAATAGTGTGTTCTTTTTAATTGTGTGTGAATCATAGTTTTTAAACCCGGCCTCGAAATCGATCCATGCAGGGTCAATTGCTGAACCGGATAATTAATTTTAAAATTTTTAAATTATATATATAGTATTTTTGAAATATAAATATACATAAAAGTAACAAAAATAAATATTTTATATAAAATTTGTACATCAAAGTTTTAGAAAAATTGTATGTCACAATAAATATTTACTATATCAATATTTACATAGTTTTTATATTTTTATATAAAAAATATTAAAAAAATAATATGGACTGGGTCGACTTGGTTGACCCAGCCGGTTCAAGGCCGGTTCGGTCATGTTTGACCGGGTCCATTGTTACTCGGTCCAAATAGTCCACCCGGACAGATTCCAGCTCCAGGTCGACCCGCCGTGTCGGTCCGGGTTGAAAAACAATGGTGTGAATACTAAATTATGAGTTATGTTTCTACTCTCAAACGCGTGCCCAAGACCTGTCCCAGCTAAGCGCCATTTTCTTCAGAGCTGAAAGATCAAAGTTCAGTCAACACGCAGAAGGCAATTAACAACGAAAATGTGCTAGGAAGACATTGCTTTCTCTCCACATCACAAAGAACTCTCCATAAGGAAAAAGGCCACTTTATTAATTCCTCAGGATCTTCGTTCTGGTCTCTTCACAGCTAGCAGTCGCAGTAACACGACGACAGTTGGATATTTTACCCAATATTATTCAGCATAAATAATTTATGATTTTTTTTTTTTTTTTTATTAAAAGGAAGAAAAAAAGGAACAATGATAGTTAGAAAACCAACTTTCTCCTAGCCAAATTGGAGTTCAATCTGTTTCTAGAAGCCAACAACACAAGATCATCGATGCTATCACATATCAAATCCTTAAATATCAACCTCTCAGTGTCCAAAACCGCCTCCGAGATCTCCACCGGGAAATCTCCCCACGAACCTTCGGCTAAGTCTTTCTTCAAAACACTACAAATGGACTCGAACAAATCTTCGTCCTCACTCTTCTCCCTTTGTTGTCTCATTCTTTCAAACTCGGACCATACATTTTCGAGAAATGGTGTTCTTGAACAATCGCTATCGCTGCGCGAGACTATGCAGTTAGCTTCCCAAGGAGGCAATTGTCTCTTTCTCTCGATAATTTCCTCGGTTGTATCGAAAATTAGTTTCCGTTGGAGGCTAGCAACTTTGGACGTGCTCTTCCCCTCGAGGTATTGCTGCTTTTCGAGTACAAGAAACACATCCGAATCCTCCGGGAGATAATGGATCGCTTTTATGATTTCTGAGATGTAAATGAAATCCGAGTCGTCCGAAGCTTCGATGCATTTGGATCGTACGGTGGAAATCAAAGGACTCCATATTTCTTCTTCCAACTCATCAGAACAATCTGTTGAAGGCAATAGTTGATCATAAGCGTTAAGTTTTGTATATGAAATATAGCATTCTCAATTTATACACAAAATCTAACTCAATCCCATTATCCTCACTATTATCAATATGATTAAATAATATCAACCAATTATTCTTACATATTACATCAACTTTAATTTACTATACTTCCACTCGCATAATTTTAACTAACTATCACTTCGTATCATCTCTCTCGTACTTTTACATCAAATCAATTTTAATTATTTCATTTTAATATAAAATCAAAATTCCACTAACAACTAACCATACCACTTTTTTCAAAATTAACTTTGATTGACAAAAAAATAAAAAACTCATTTTGAGCGAATATATTTGNATACAAACACGCTAGTGTTCCAAATATATATATATATATATTGATTGCTATGCAGTTGTTAGTTGGATTTTGAAATTTAATAGAAAAAGAAATCCAACTTTAGTTAGGCCCTCCACTCTTAAAATGAATAATTTTTGTATAATCTGCAGAAAAAACCATGGATAAAAACAATAAAGGGCCCAATTTTTTTTATTTATTTTTTCACATTTTAATTCATGTTTTTATTAAATAAAAGGTGTTATTTAGCGCACCCTAGCCTAGCCTAGTCATCTCCAGTCAGTCCCATCTTACACAATTAATTCCCACATTTAAGATAGTTTCAGTTTGTTGCTTTATAGGCCCAAGAGCCCCATAAGATCTCTATAGATTAGCACCCAAAGTCAAACTAGGAGTTTCAAGGTAACTACCATAGCAGATGAGCAATTGAATACAACTATAATTGCTTCCAGAATCATTCACACAAAAAATAACAAAAATTATTGTGTTGGTCAGCCCGACAGTTAGTCGGGTTGATCCATCACACGTTTTCAACAAAAATGCGTAGCAATGCTACGAAATAGTTATCTTTTCGTTCATATTGTTTTCTAGAGTATAACATTTGATTATAAAAAATATATGCATCGGTTGAAAATTTATGAATACATAACCAGTACTTAACAACAATTTTAGTAATATAATAAATCTACTAATGAACAATTTAAACAAGGGAACATTCAATGATGCTAGTGCCGATTATGTACAATGTTATGTATCTATAATATTTCTCTTTCTCTTTTCCCTTGGTACTAATTTGTGACTTTATAAGAGGCCCCAATAAACTTCTCTAGATAGAACACAAAAGGTCACAAAAATTGAAAATTTACAACCCAAATTATTGCAATTAAAATTTAGTTCAATTAACGTAATCAGGAAGGTATCATAATTCACTCGAACAAAATATTAGGGCTACACCTTGATTAATTGTAATTAAAATGGCAATTAAAGAGAGAACTGAAGCATCGTGAAGTTGTTGTGTTGTACCTTGGAAATCAATATTACGTTTAGTTGTAACTGGCGAAGGGGTCAATGACTCGTCCCTGTAAAACGACGAGTCGAGAACGGAGACCGGACTCGGCTGCGGATCGGTTGCAGCCATCTCCGCTATGCTGTGAAGCAGCTGATCACACCTCTCCAACAGGTTCCGCCCCTCTTTGTATTCCTCGGATTTCGTCCCCTGCCATTGACAATCACTCATTATAAATACAAATATGAGGGCAGTAAATTATAAGTTTGGGCCGAACTTGAGCTTTTGAGCCTTTATCGAGAAGAACTAAACAGGTCAAGTCAAACTCGAGCTGAGTCGATTTAACTCTATCTTAATAAAATATTCAAATTAGTGTTGTAATCGATTCGAACGAACTGAGCTTGCATGTCGGGTTTTAATTGTTCGTCAAAATTTAAATTCGTTTGTGTTCGAATAAAGTTGGACACAAACTTTTAAAATATGCTTAATTAACTTCAAATATGTTTATTCGTACTCAAAAATTAAAATAAAAAATATATATATATTTTATATTTTCCTTTTGAAAATATCATGAAAATATACAAAAAATAAAATAAACGTGCTCGTTTGATTATTAAACGAGCTTAATTTTTTGTTCGAACTCAGCTCGATTAGAAACGAATGAATGAGCTCTTGTAAAACAAGAACGAGCTTTTGTTTGAAAACGTTCAATTTGTTAACAACTCCAGTAGTTCAAGTCGAGCTGTTAACTATACGAGCTAATGACCTCGCTTTTCTAGTTTACCAATATTAGTGAAATGATTTTGAGCTTGGCTCGAGAAACAAGTTTTGAACCTTAACTAGTTGATTTCGTGTGACAGTTTTAATCAAGGGTCAATTAATTAGGTTAATGCTAATCACATGCTTAATTGACTTGATTAACGCGTTAATTATGCTACCTCTGTATCGGTCGAAGTGGTGATGCTATTACTGCTCCCTGACGAGGATTCATCAACCAAAACGACGGCGTTTGGGGCAGTCCCTTTCTGGTGAG